AAAGAAGTGATTTATTATGAAAGTTCAACCTAAAAGAAGTGATTTATCATGAAAGTTCAACCTAAAAGAAGTGATTTATTATGAAAGTTGAACATGAGATATGTTTTTTTTTAATAAATATCTGATATTCGTAATTATGGTTAAACTGGATAGAATGTGTTGAACCACAGAATAATTCAGAATCAGGTTGTTTTTCAATATTTGTTCTTTTGTTTTTTAAACTCAGCAAAAATCTCTTTTTTGAAAACTTTAATTTGATTTTTGGTAAATAAAGTTTGATTAAAGTTTTATTTCTAATAATTTTAAACTAAACATCAGAAGAATATAAAACAAGTCTATCTGGAACAAAGGTCAGACGTGAAACGTGGATCATTGAAAACAAAATGGTTTTGCAGAACTCTGATCTTTTCAGATCTTTGACTGAGTCACAGAAGACGAAAATATTTCCCATCAGCCACTTCTTCAGTTTCAAATTACTTGGACCAGTTCCGGAGTTAAGCTGGATCTGGTCCAAAAAACAAGGAATTTCCAGGGTATGGATGGTCTATAAAAGAACCCCTGCAGGAAGGACGTGAGTCAGAGCGAGTCCTGGAAGTTCCCTGAGAGCAGCAAACAGGAAATTAGAGATCAGATGAGAACTTTTCAAAATAAAGTCGGATTGAAGTTTTATTTTGATTTGATTTTACAGAAAAAACAGAGTTTCAAACCAACAGAAAAATAAACAAATCTGTAAAATCCCAAGAGAACAAACTATTTTTAAATAAACAAGATATTTATATATTTCAAGCAAAAACAACTTTGACTTAATGATCAATTTTTTTCTTTTTCTTTCAGCTACTCCCTTCTTCAGGGGTCACCTCAGTGGACTGAGTCACATGAAGACTTGGCACTTATTTTTACACCAGATGCCCTTCCTGGCACAACCACAGACCACTGAGCTACCACAGCCCTCGGAGTGGTGGCGCAGAGGTTAGAGAAGGTGGGCCTGTGATTGGATCACTGGTTCAATTCCCGGCACCAACAACATCAAAATGAGGGTGGGAAAGGTGAAACACCCACACCTGCCTCAACTCTCATTTGCCCCACACTGGGTCCTTGAGTAAGGCCCTTAACCCCCACCATCTGCTCCCCCAGGTGCAATAGATAGCAAACTCAAATGATCATTAAATAACATAAATTTAAAAAATAGGTTAACAGTTGTTTTCTTTCAACCTGTGATCCATCTTTCATTTGGACCTGTGACCCATTTTTCTTTGGGCCTGTGACCTGTCTTCTTTTAGACATGTGACCTGTTCTTTGGACCTGTGATCCATCTTTCTTTGGACATGTAACCCATCTTTCTTTGGATTTGTGACTTGTACTTTGGACCTGTGACCCATCTTTCTTTGGACCTGTGATCCATCTTTC